CCCCCCCCTTTTTTTAACCAAAAAACTCCATTGGAGCCCACCCGTCCCCCAAAAATTGTGTCTTCTCCGTATTTTAGCAAGTTAACACTGGATCCAAGGCGTTGTCATGTAGTGGATCTCGTCTATTGCTCATTTCGGCTCCCAAATCATCAATTTTTCACATTTTAAAAAACTTTAAATCGAGGTATTCCGACCTACTTTTTGGTAAAACTCATGTATATAAAATGATTATGAGTTATTTTTTACTGTGGTGTATATTTTTTGTGATTGTTTTGTGATTTAATTAATTTTTTATTTTTTATCCGGATTAGTTTATTTATGTGCTAAATAATTAGTAAAAATATATATTGTTATTTTATGAATAATTATTGTTATATGTGATTTTAATGTTGTACGTATATTAATATGTGACTTTATTATTGTTTAGTACCTTTAGTATTATGTTGTGTCCTTAATTGTTAAGTAAGTGCCCTTTAGCGTAGTAAAACTGATAATAAATTTTAGCTTATGGTAGTTGACTTTGTTTATGGCCATTTAGAGTAGTGTTAATTTAGTACTCTTTAAGATTTCGTTGTGTAGAATTATGGATTTAATGTATCAGTAGATAATTATCAAATATTATATATGAATCATAAAATAATCAGTTGATGTTACAAAAGAGACGCTGCCGGGAAATTTGGACAAAATATGACAGTTAACAAATAAATTGTTACGAATGAAATAAATTCAATATTATTTACTATTACGTTTGTAGTATTTTTATATGATTAGTTATTGAATATATCTTGATTACTTATGAAATTTTAATATATAATTTTGTTATAATACAAAAATAACTTTAAAAAAATGATAGTTCAAACAAAACCATGTAGAATTTTAGTAGAAAAATGTAGGAAACTAACATATGAAATATTAATATAGGAAATTTATCAACCTAAGTATCTGTTATATGAATAATTACTAAAATATCTTTTTAGTTATTAAAATTAATTATTTAATTCTCTGTTAACCCCAAAAATATATGAAAAAAATATGATTGTTCAAAAACAAAACCCTCTCGAATTTTAGTCAAACGATGTAAGAAAATAACATATAAAACAACAATATAGAATATTTGTCAAACCGAGTATTTTTATATGAATACTTATTAATTATATCATGTATAGTTATGAAAAATAATTATTTAATTCTATTATACCCAAAAATAGCTGAGTAAGAAACTAATATACTCCCTCTGTTTCAATTTATGTGAACCTATTTCCTTTTTAGTCCGTGCCAAAAAGAATGACCTCTTTCCCTATTTGGAAACAATTTACCTTTATGCAATGATTTATAGCCACACAAAATATATGTGCCTCATTTTACACCACAAGTTCAAAAGTTTTCTCTCTTTTCTTAAATTCCGTGCCCTTTACAACATCCATTTTACAAATGCCACTAATATTTAATAAATGGTTTAAGAAGAGGCAAAAAAGTGAAGGTAGTTCAATAAATCCACATGGAACACATTATAACACAATCGATTCCTATCTTGAAAAAAATATGCTAGGTTGCTATACTGATTTGGTTGATGACAAGTGGTATGGTGTGCTACGTCCCTTGAAAAATAAGCCTATCAATATATACACTGATCTCAAAGTTGCAGGGCACATTATTGAGGGCGAAGCGCATTCTACAAAGCCTGAAGGTATGCGAATTTGGGGTAAAAAACTACAATGGGTTCCCCTTCACTCAAAACGGTGTGATTATAAAGTACTATGCCACTGGCATAGGCTAGTTGTACCACAAGCACTATCTACAACCTTCCAAACAAACACACACAAAGATGAACCAAAAGTGATTCGGCATTTGATGAAGAAGATTTTAGAGATGGAAAAGGCACTAGCCGTTCATCATGCACTGGATGATCTTAACTACCTGCAAGGAATGGAGGATAAATATTGGAATTTATTTGAAAATAAAAAATTGCATAGAGACAATGATTATCTTGTTTTCCCAACAGTTGCCGAATGGGAGGGACTACCTAAGTTTCTACCATAGACGTTGGACGTAGAGTCTCATATTGTTGTAGAAATCAAGCAAGTGGTCTTATTGATGATAGCGATGAAATATGAGAAATGTGTGTCAACTGGGGCCTAGATTACGATGCCCTCGGTCCGGAAGGGTGCGTACAAGATGTTGACGAAGAAGATGAAGACAATGACAATGAAATAGTGCCAGATAGTGACGATAAAGGCGAATGAAAATTGTTCTTTGGGAAATATTTCAAATTGTTGTATTGAATCTTTAATGCTAAATATTAATTAGATTTAACCCTATTGGAAACATAATTTTATTTCAGAAATTTTGCAAATTTAACCTTTACAGACATTTAGTACAACAAAAATACTACAACAAAACACTAGGTTTATCCTTGATAATTTGTCACATTGGATAAACTGCTACCTGGAGCTGAATTACCATCGCTTCCCAAACCAGCTGAAGGACATTTACGGCGATTGTGTCCTGTTTGATAACATATTTCACATTTACGTGCATAAATGGTATCACCAACATCTATTTGGTTCTGTATCCGCGTTCTTTTTTGCACTTTCCGTTGACGCACATAATACTTGTTACACACCATTTTAAATGGTTCCGCCCACCAATAATGCTCAGCACCCACTGGCTGCAACTGCCCACTATAGGTGTTTGCGTATGCAGCAATACTATATTCTTTATCAACATACCTCGTTGCCGCGAAACCTGTATATTGAAAGCACTTCATGGCATGTGAGCATGGCAAGTGATAGATTGACCATTTTCCACACGAGCATAATCTTCTGGATTCATTGACGGTGTGTGTATTATTCCTGCGGTTTTGATGCACACCAGTGCGAACTTCAAAAATATTTCGCTCACTACACTACTACAAAAATATATGCCACTGTGCTCGCTTCCTATATTTCTCAAATCGTTTCATTGGCTGTGGCACAAATTCAACACTCATTTCCATCAATGACAATTCACCTCTAGATCTTTCAACAAAACTCTCTGCCCTCTGCTTGAATGACATCCGCACCATGGCAGTAACATGCAATCAAAGTGCGGACTTCAATAACCCGTTGAAAGACTCTGACACATTTGTTGTCAAAATTTCCCACTTTCTACCACTATCCTTATACAAAGTCCACTTGTCGAGCTCATGTCGTATCAACCAATGATAGGCTTCTGGGTCTTCCTGCCTAATCAATTTCATTCGCATCCTGAATTTAAACTCTTGGTGATCTGTTACAACCATCTACATTAAATCATATAAGTCCTTGTTCGGGTGAGCCCTCTGGAAGTTGGCCTTCAAGTGTCTAACACAGTAACGGTGGTAGGCATTCAATTCCTGCCATGCACGTAAATTCTGTACATAACTTAAAGTACTACCATGGCGATCAGATATTAGACAAATGCTTGAACGTTGTCTGACAACGTGCTCCTTCAAGTGGTTCAAAAATAATATCCACGTCTCTTGGCTTTCATTGACACAAATAGCAAATGCTAGGGGAAATATGCTTCCATTAGCATCTACTGCAAAGGCGATCAACAACTTAATATCATACTTTCCATAGACATGAGTATCGTCTATGGATATTATCAACCGACAATGCACAAAACCATCAATGGCTAGTTTAAATGCCCAGAACACATATCTGAATATAGATTCGGGTATTTTCGGACTCCGCTCAAGCTTCCATTCAACAACAGTCCCGGGGTTAAAGTATTGCAATGCAGCCATGTACTTGGGTAGAGCGACAAAGGACTTATCCCAATTACCATAAATAATCTCAAATGCACGTTTATGCCCGAAAAATGCCTTTCTTTTGGTAATGGTACATCCATATACCTGGTGGATAGATGTTATACACTC